GCTATCAACATCTTCACGTCCTTGATTTCTTCGTTCCGATCTAATCCAATCTCTGAAACATACTAAAACTTCCAAAGCATTGCTTCCCAATGAGTGACGGGTGTCTCCAAGTTGTTGTCTTGCTTGGCTAAATGCACTCTCTGATGCAACAGTTNCTATTGTTAGAAGCATTATCAAAAGACATACACAATAATTTTTGCTTGAGATTATAAAATTCAACAACTTCACAAATAGTACTACTTATAAACGTAGCAGTATGACTCTGATCTTCATCATATCTAAAAGCGATAATACGTTTTTGCATACAAGTACTATCATCTATCCAATGACATGTAATTGTCAAATAATCATTTCCATTAACAACATGGTCAATATCAGAAGTTAGAGAAACTCTGCAAGGAAGGTGGCTAAACAAATAACGTATCTATGTTTGATATTGTCCATGAAGTCTAAAGATATCAGCTCTACAAGTACTTCTAGGGATACCTTTAAATAAAGGATTGTAAATCCTTTGAATATACATAATAAGATATGATGAAGAAGCAAAAGAAAAAGGTAGACAACCCAAAGCAATCATTTTTGCTAACTCCTCATGATCCTTCATTTTATCATATTTCACAAGACCACCAGTAGTAGGGTTTAAAGTTGATTGATTTCCATCTCCATCAGATCCCCATTCTATAGGATGCTCAATTCTCATATGTTTACTAAGTGTCCTAGTCCCCCCTAATTGACCCCCAGTCTTATGTTTAAAAGTATCATTACAAAGTTTACATTTAACTCTATCAGTACCTTCTATTTCCTCAAAGAATTTCCAAACCTTACTTCTTTTTCTACGATTACTAGTCGGGGCCACAGGTGGTCTACTACTAGCAACACGACCACCACCCCTGCTAGCAGCTCCAACACTACTAGGTGTAAGTGGTATCTCATCTTCCATTTCTAATTCATTATCATCTATACCAAAATCTTCCTGCAATTGTTCATAGTCTATATTATTATCAGGTAATGTTTCAGGAATATTTGGAGAGGTATTTAAATTACTACCAGATGCTGAACCTGAAGTACTACCTCTTTTTTTATTTCCCCGATTAGTAACCTTGTTACAAACTCTTTTTGCAGCATTAAACATATTGTAAAAATTTAACTACTAGCAACAAAACAAATAAATATGCAAGTAAAATAGTAAATAAGAGAAAGAGTTGGAGGGAGTGCACCGAATTCGGCAATAAATTGAGCACTTGATGATTCCGCAACTCAAATGTTACCACGAAGAAACGTCAATTCTTCCAATTTTGAAGTTCAATTGTTCAAACTTCAAAAGATAAGTACTACGATAAATTAAACTCCAAAAAAATAGCCAAATAATTGATTGCACCTTAATAGGTGAAGAATGCAGATTGAAGAATGAGAGAATATGAGAATTGAGATTGAGAATTGAGAGATGAGTGAAAAAATGAGGAAGAGGGTGGGG